TGCAATGATGATCCCAAAAATGACAAATCTGAGAAAAATGAGATATCTGTAATATATTTTTTTTCTTTGATTTCTTTATTTTATTTCAGATATTTAATATAGTTGAGATAATTAAAAAATTAGATATATTAGTGATAGTTTAGATAGTTGATATATCTGATATAATTTTTTGATTCTAGCATGTATATAAGCGAGAGGAAAAATGTCTGAATAAACTTAACAATTATTTACTTAACAATTATTTGCTTAAACAAATTGTTCAAATAAACTACTTAACAAATGTTTTGACATTTGAAGGTGAAACTGCAACCATAAAGGAATTTGGAAGAGTTTCAAAGTAGTTGTCAGTGTGAATGCCCATTGCTACAACAGGAACTTAGGTATAGTTTGAGTAGATGAATGCATATGCTAACGGATGAAAATTGAGTTTATTTTTGTAGATAGAGAAGGTTACTCAGACCAAATTATTACACCTCAGCCTTAACAAAATTAATTATTAGAGAAGACTTCGATAAACCCTCACAATAATCCAAATGGTATGACCATAAATTCATACATTTCACAAAATGTCATAAATGCTGTTTTTTCTCTATTCTTCTTGTGTACCGTTACTTGCCAATAACCCAATATCAAGTTTATAGTGCTAAACCCTTGCACATATGCTTCGATCAAATCGTTCATCAACGTCAAGGGATATGTGTTCTTCTTTGTCACAGTGTTGATCTTTCGGTAATCCATACATAACCTCAGTTTTCCTCCTTTCTTAGGTACTACGACTATTAGGAAGAACCATAGGCTCCTAGACTTTCAAACCAGTCCTTGCTCCTCCAAGTGTGTGATTTCTTTTCTAATGAATTCTCTTATATCTGGAGCAGTTATATACATGTTCTGCTTGATTTGGATTGCTTCACCAGTATCAATAGTGTGTTCGACTATCTCGATGCAGCCCAACTCTGATACTGACTGTGCAAATATGTTCTGTCCTTGTCTCAATATTTTTTTCACTTGTTCCACTTGCTCACCGTTTAATTCGTTATCTGTTTTTAGCATTTCGATCTTCTCTTCTATCCTTTGTTCTTGTGTTGTCTCCATCAGCATTGGAAGTTTCTCGATTAATGCCACTTTCTCTGTACGCTCACCTTCACTTTCTATTTTTCTATCATCTTGTCTGGCATTTCTTCTTCTTTGCTATTTTTTCATCATCAGTTCCTGATTTTGCGTCTTTTCCTATTAAAGATGCTAAGTTGTCTATCTGGGTGAAATATACTGCAGGGCTTGATCCCTCAGATCTTGTCCCATCATCAAACTTTGAGTCACTATGTGGCTCAGAACATATATCATTATTAGAATCAGAGTTACTACATAACTCTTTCATATAGTACCCTTCCTTTTTTTTCACATTCTCTTCTTCATACACAATGTCATCTAGTATTTTATTAATTGTTTCTCATTAAGCTGTTCATCACTGTCAGCTTTGTCCTCAGGTACCTTTCTTGCTTTATTGTTTATTATATGAACCTTGATCTTCTTTCCATCATATTTAAATACTAATTTCTGCTCATCGATATAAATTCTATCTTTGATCTTTTTGAACTAAAATTAATATTTTATCTTTGGAATCAACTACTTGTACTGGTGTTGGAATCAATACTCCTTGTATTGATACCTTCAGGTTATTGATATTACCTAACACTCTTGTTCTCAATCCAATAATGGATACTATCATTGTTGTTAACTTCTTATTGATCTTCAGCTTTAATCGGTCCATCAGCTTCTTCAACATGAGGCTTATTGCTGCTCCAGTGTCGATGACAGCTTCCACTTTTGTATCCTTAATTCTTACTTGGCATCTTGTTGTTATTGTCTCCTTTTCCTTTTCCATCACCTCCTCTTTCTTCTTTTCCTCTTTTTTCTTCATCACAATATAATTTGTTTCTACTTCAATAAGAGATCTCTGCATTGCTTTCATCAACATTTCTCTCAGTTTCTGGAATTGCAGCATTTGCCCAATTATGATATACACAGGTGCTAATAGAATATCCTTTAGGATGTTATATAATGGCATTCTTTTTATTTCTGACGGTCCTCTCTTTTGTTGCGGCTTCCTTCTGGTTGATTTTGCTTCTTCCATTTCTTTATTTATGTTGATTAGAGACTGACTGTTGTTATATTCATATGTTTGCAAATCACATCTTGGCCTGTTTCTTAATCATCTATTCTACATGGAATTTGATTTTGATGTTTCTTTTCTTTTTTTCCTTACATCTTGATTTTCACCAGTGTAGGCTTTCCTTTCCATCCTTTTACCTTTTTCCACATAGCAAAACTGAACTTCATTGACCTGGTTGGTCTCATTTGCCATACGGTTCTCCCTGGTACAATTCTTAGTGAAGTGACCTTTCTCTCCTCATGTGAAGCAACTTCGTTTATTTTCAATTAGGCTTCTCATTTGGCTTGTATTTTTTTTGCTCACCTCTGGCTTGTTATAGTTTTCTTTCATCTCCTTTACCTGTTTAAGCAGTTTCTGAATATCATTCTCCATTTTTCTCATTCTCTCCATTTCTTTACAACTCTGGTGCATAACAAAGCTTGTCTCATTTTCTAATTGCTTGACTTTATAGATTGCTTCACTCAGTGTAATTGTATTCCTGATGGCCGGTACTGACGCCATTCTTCTCTTAAATCCATTTGTAAATATTCTCGCCATGCGGATTTTTAAGTAATTGCTGTTGAGGTCAACCCTCTTCAACAGTTTTTGAAATCTGTGAGTGTATTCTATTACCTTCTCATCATTTTTTTATTGGTGACAAGTTTTTAAGAGTAATATGAGTACGATCATCAAGAAGTCATAGTCATCCAGTTCAGAATTGTGGTTCTGTAAATCCAATTTTAATAAACTTGTTTATAATATTACCCACAACTGATTTTTTACATTGTTGATATAAAAATTATATATTTATAGGCATTTTTATGATTTGTATAATAATTTGAACTTGGTATAGTGTGTTATCACTAATGCATCAAATAATGCATCAGCTGGCCGCAGAACACGTTGTAAGTGGAAATAGATATGACAGCACTACTATAAATAATAGTAGATCGCTAGTGATGAAAATAAAAGAAAATATTGAGCAAGAGACCCATATCTGTGATACCATAAGATAGATAGAGATACCCAAATATTGAATAAACTTGCCTTAATTAGTACTTACCACTGGTAGAATCTTGAGAGATCACAAAGGGCTTGTAGTATAGATTAGAACAGTACCTAAAAAGGAGTTTATTAACAAGTACCTTTGGTGTGCAAGCAATTCAAAACCCCTATCCATATCAAGATGTAAGCCTAAACTTTAGATTAGTAACAAACTTGCCATACCCAATAACATTTGATAAAAAACTAACATAATTCAATTAAGACCGAGTAGATTTCATAAGAAACAACACTCAATCCTCCCTCCCCTGATATTTTTGCACATATACCAAAAATAGTAAATTTTAATTAATTTCCTAATCGAAAAAAAAAAAACAAGCAAGCGAAACACCTTTAAAAACAAGACATTACCTGTTTTAGAACATCAAGGAGAATCATAATATGACCATAATCATTATTACTAATCAAGTATAATAATGGACTTTGGAATAAACGATTGGAAAGAAAATCTGAATGATTTAGATATTTCGCAAACAAGAAGAAAATGAAACACTGTACAATAGGGCTCCGAAAAGTATCGAACTGATATCAAAATAGTATCGAAATAGTATCGATCTATAGTAAATTTAATATATGGGTTGTGACCTACTCATATAAATTTATAGTAA